TCTCCCTTCCCCCTCCCATCTCTGTACCCCCCCACACCCTGCACCAGTACAGCAGGCCCTTTAGCCTGCCCCTGGTGTCAGCTTTCCTCCCCTCCCATGTTTCCAAGGTGCAGAAGAGAAGCGAGCGCGTTAGAAGAGTAGAGCCTCCAAAACCCGAGGTTGTGGATTCCACTGAGAGCAGTGAGTAGGACTTGAGGAAGTGTGACCGAGTGGGATGTGGCGGGCCACAGATCTCCTGGCTCCCATAGTGCTGCGCCCTGCAGAGTGTGAAGTGCCTATCTCTGCTGTGGGTTGGCATGGGAACCAGGGGCAGTGGGGGAAATTGAAAACAACAGCAGCGAGAATGGAGTTTCCTGTTTCAGCCATGCCATCCCTGTCCTGAATCTTCTCACTCAGAGCCCTCCTGGGCCCTCCCAGGGAGAGTGCCACCAGTGGCTTAAGATGCCAGCATGATGCGGGTGGGGGCGCAGAGGAAATAACTAGGGGGATGGGGCTCATCCGAGGAGCCAGTATCTGCTGAGCTGCCCGTTGGTCAGAGGAGAGCTGGTCCAGTAGCTTTTGCTCATGGTCCGTGCCCCCACTTCCACAGTTCCAGTGTCAGATGAGGATTCTGATGCCATGGTAGATGACCCCAATGATGAGGACTTTGTGCCATTCCGGCCCCGGCGCTCCCCTCGCATGTCCCTACGCTCAAGCGTGGCACAAAGGGCCGGGCGCTCTGCGGTAGGCACCAAGATGACCTGTGCTCACTGCCGGACGCCACTGCAGAAGGGGCAGACCGCCTACCAGCGCAAGGGGCTGCCTCAGCTCTTCTGCTCTTCATCCTGTCTCACCACTTTCTCTAAGAAGCCTTCGGGCAAAAAGACCTGTACCTTCTGCAAGAAGTACGTGAAGGTCCCCAGGGTGCAGGGAGGGCAGGGATCAGGCCAGGAGTAACTAGTGATCCGGGGACTGTGGGCAAGAAGCTAGCAGAGTGGAACTGGGAGGGGGGTCCGAGATTACTCGGCCCTGTGGTCATCGATCCCTGAGGAGGGGTGGGAGCCGATGAAACAAGAGGATGGTACTGAGTGAACATTCCAACCTGCTTCCACCTGCAGGGAGATCTGGAACACCAAGGACTCGGTTGTGGCACAGACTGGTTCAGGAGGCTCCTTCCATGAGTTCTGCACGTCCGTCTGTCTCTCCCTGTACGAGGCCCAGCAGCAGCGCCCAATCCCACAGTCTGGGGATCCTGCCGACGCCACTCGCTGCAGCATATGCCAGAAGACTGGAGAGGTGAGGAAGCTCAATGGGGGCTGATTTGCAGAGCCTGGCTAGCCCTGACCTGCCCCTGCCATCCTGGGGCTGCAGGGGCCAGGCCCTGTGGAAGAGGGGAGTGGGGAGGAAGGGCAGCCATCGTGAGGGAGCATATTCAAGGATAGAGCTTCTCCAGGATGTATGCAGCCGGCCTTCCTTGCCTCCCGGGACCTCACCATCAAGTCGGCAGCCCGATGTGCAGGTTGGGGGGTCCCTGGGCCCACTGTGTGCTGTGAAGGTCTAGGGTGAGGTGGGGCGGGCCGTCCTTGCTTCAGGGTGGGTGGTGGTGCCCAGGCCCTGGCTCAGGGTGTGTGTGTGTACGGCAGGTCCTGCACGAGGTCAGCAACGGCAGCGTGGTGCACCGGCTCTGCAGCGATTCTTGCTTCTCCAAATTCCGGGCCAACAAGGGACTGAAAACCAACTGTTGTGACCAGTGCGGGGCTTACATCTACACCAAGACCGGGAGCCCTGGCCCTGAGCTCCTCTTCCACGAGGGCCAACAAAAGCGGTTCTGCAACACAACCTGCTTGGGGGCGTACAAGAAGGTGGGGCCGAGGGAGTAGTGCATTAGAGGGCTGTGGACGGGGGTGCGGTTCCTGGGTGACAAATAAAGGTGCCTGATGGGTCGAGGGTTGGGAAGAATAAAACAAATAAAGGGGGTTTCAATTGTATCTGTTATGTTTTATTTTTGAAGCTGGCTGGTGGATACACAGGTCTTTGTTATATCATCATCTACCCTTTTTTTGTATGCCTGAAATATCTCATGTTTTAAAAAATTTAACAAATAAAAGCGAAGGGACAAATCCAGCCTCAGCCTCTCCTTCCCCATCCTCACAGAAAAACACACGTGTGTACCCATGTGTCTGGTGCAAGACCCTGTGTAAGAACTTTGAGATGCTATCACATGTGGATCGTAATGGCAAGACCAGCTTGTTCTGTACCCTGTGCTGTACCACCTCTTACAAAGTGAAGCAGGCAGGGCTCACTGGTAGGTGCAAAGCCCTCTTCTCTGAGACCCCTGCTGGCCTTCCTTCTACCTCCCGTACTCCCTTCTAAAGTGATCCCTGCTGCCCAACCTCAGCCCCAACCACATCTTCCCATGGATTTCCTGTTCCATCTCTGCACTGCCTTACACCTTCTGTGTGCTCTCTCTCTCTCTCCTTCTCTATCTCTCTCTCTCTCTTTCTATCTCTCTCTCTCTTTCTCCTTTTCTGTCTGTGCCCCAGGCCCTCCCCGACCCTGCAGCTTCTGCCGCCGCAGCCTCTCTGACCCCTGTTACTACAACAAGGTTGATCGCACAGTCTACCAGTTCTGCAGCCCCAGCTGCTGGACCAAGTTCCAGGTACTCCAAACCCTGGACCAGGGATGAAAGAAGGGTGTGGTGACACAGAGAGGGTATGAGAGTTGGGGCAGGTAGGCCCGGGCAGAACTAAGAACGAGCCTGACCCCCCCCTCCCCACCGCCCCCACACACCTCCCTTACTTGTCTTCCTTCCCTCCAGCGCACAAGCCCTGAGGGGGGCATTCACCTGAGCTGTCACTACTGCCACAGCCTCTTCAGTGGCAAGCCTGAGGTCTTGGACTGGCAGGTAAGATCCCCACCCCCGCCGACATCCTGCCACATAGACCGGACAGCTGTCTGAAGGGGGCCTTCCCTCCACTTGGCTCTCGCCAGATCGGGATGTCACAGCTCTGTCCTCCCCGCCCTGTGCCCCTCATCTCAGGACCAGGTGTTCCAGTTCTGCTGCCGCGATTGCTGCGAGGACTTCAAGCGGCTCCGGGGTGTGGTGTCCCAGTGTGAGCATTGCCGGCAGGAGAAACTCCTGCATGAGAAACTCCGGTTCAGTGGGGTGGAGAAGAGCTTCTGCAGCGAAGGTAAGGAGGTGGGGCGCAGAAGGGCCTGAAACTTCCAGCCAGAGAGGGTGGTGGGGGAAGGAGGAGGGCTTGCAATGTGGCACTTGGGGGGTGGTCGGGGGTCCTCTGGTCACTGTGGTCCTCCTCCCATCCCCTCCCCCTCCGTCCGTCTCTCTGTCCATCCAGAGGCTTCAAGGTACGAGAGGCTGGTGGAGGTTTTAGGTGGACCACCTTGGAAAGGTTGGGCCTCCTGGCCATGGTGATCTCTGGGTCTCTGGACTCTCTCGTCTTGCCCTCTTCCCAGGCTGTGTGCTGCTGTACAAACAGGACTTCACCAAGAAGCTGGGGCTGTGCTGTATCACTTGTACCTACTGCTCCCAGACCTGCCAGCGTGGAGTCACCGAGCAGCTGGATGGCAGCACCTGGGACTTCTGCAGTGAGGACTGTAAGAGCAAGTACCTGCTGTGGTACTGCAAGGTAAGGGGGGCAGGACACTGGAAAGGAGGGAAGGGGCGCCAAGGGGCACAGGCTGTTACACTGGTTTCCGGGTGCGGGCCGATCTCCAGGGAGGGGGCTCTGGTTGGCCCGGCTTCTGAAGGGAGCAGCACGGCCTCTCCCAGGGCAAAGGGCCCAGCCCACTTTAGGGAGGCAGGTCTGACTGTCCTGTTGACGCCCCCCAGGCCGCCCGGTGCCACGCCTGTAAGCGCCAGGGGAAGCTGCTGGAGACCATCCACTGGCGTGGGCAGATCCGTCATTTCTGCAACCAACAGTGTCTGCTGCGCTTCTACAGCCAGCAGAACCAACCCAACTTGGATACCCAGAGCGGGCCTGAGAGCCTCCTGAACAGTGAGTGCTGGGCAGGGGGCACGCTCTGTTAGCAGTGGCCTGGACCCTTTTCACCCTAGGCCCAGCCCCTCTCTCCCTTCTCTCTTGCTTTCACCTCATCCTTGGCCAGACAGAGCTCCTTGTACTATATTCTTTTTCAGCTTCTGGACCGTGCGGGTACTAGGGGGAGCCTTGTTTCAAGGTCCCTAGAGTTCGAGTCTACTCGAACTGTATAAAGGATGTGTTTTGAGGGGATGGACACTGACCCAGGTGGGATGGGGCATGTGGGGGGCTGTGGTTAATTTTCAGAGAGCTGGAAGTGTCGGCATAAGCTCTACCTTTGAGGAGACCGAAGACTATTGTTTCTAGAATGTCACCTCAGTCTCTCCACTGCTTCAGGGGTACCAAACTTCCGAGGGACATCTGAGTGGAAGGTCTCCAATTGTGCGTCATTGGGGGAACTGTCTTTTGGTCTTCTTGGCAGCCAGGAGCAAAGAGCCTTCTTGGCCAGTGTTGCTGGGGCCTAGAGAAGACTACATCTAAGGATGGGGGGTGGTGAGGAGGGGATATTCTAGATCTCCCATTTGCATCTAGTGTGCCTTTCAGTGGAGCTCTTGTGGAACGGGGATGAGGAGAGCGGAGAGCAAGTTCCTCAGATGAGAGCATTCATTTGTTTTGATCTATAGGTCAGTCTCCCGAGTCGAAGCCCCAGGCACCATCTCAAACCAAAGTGGAGAACAGCAGTATAGTGAAGACCCCAGAGGAAAATGGGAATCTGGGCAAGGTCAGGGCAGAAGCCAAGGGGGTGGATGGCCTCAGAGGAGGGTATGCTGGTTGACAGCTCTAACATTCCTTGGTCTCTGCAGATCCCTGCCAAGACCCGATCGGCTCCCGCTGCTTCCACCCCTCCTCCACCCCCGCCACCCCCAGCAACACCCCGCAAAAACAAAGCGGCCATGTGTAAACCACTGATGCAGAATCGGGGGGTCTCCTGCAAGGTGGAGATGAAGTCCAAAGGGAGTCAAACAGGTGAGCCAGGGTACCTAGACATCCCAGGCTACATTCCATAGTCCTAGGCCTCCAGCCCCTTGCCTGGGAACTGGACAGGGGGTTTATGAGATGGCTGAAGCATTGTGCACATGGTTGTCCCGGTATTCTCGAGTTGTCTCTCAACCTCTAGTTCTAGGGCAGTTTTGTGACACTGAGCACATGTTAGAGCTTTTGGGGTAGAGCGGGACAGGCAAGCGTCAGGCTCTGGGCCAGATGTGGTACATCTAGCAGAGGCTCTGAGAAGACCCCTTTCTTGTCAACAGAAGAGTGGAAGCCACAGGTGATAGTGCTGCCCATCCCAGTGCCCATCTTTGTGCCAGTGCCTATGCATCTGTACTGCCAGAAAGTCCCGGTGCCTTTCTCCATGCCCATCCCGGTAAGTTTCCCTGCCCTTCCTGGTGTGGTCTCCTTTACCCTTTCAGGATTGAGACCCATGCTCCCTGCCTCCCCCCCTTAGTCTCATCAGCTGTCCCTCTCATTCTCTGGGGTGGTTGTTGGTGTTCAGTTGGGATTCCTGCCTCCAGGTGCCTGTGCCCATGTTCCTGCCCACCACCTTGGAGAGCACAGACAAGATTGTGGAGACCATTGAGGAGCTGAAGGTGAAGATCCCTTCCAACCCCTTGGAGGCCGACATCCTGGCTATGGCAGAAATGATTGCAGAGGCCGAGGAGTTAGACAAGGCCTCATCTGACCTTTGTGGTACGCCATGGGAGGTGGTGATGAGGGAGACAGGGTGCTACTGGCCTGTGTCAGCCTAAGGGGGAGGAGTGTGGTAATCTTGGTGCCTTAGAAGGACTGAGGAGTAGTTGGGATTAGCCCCTGAAGGCCTGTGAGGGTGCTAGGCAGGAGCTGCAGTGACCAAGCCACCTTCCCTGTCCCCCAGATCTTGTGAGCAACCAGAGTGCAGAGGGGCTTCTGGAAGACTGTGACCTGTTTGGGCCAGCTAGAGATGATGTCCTGGCCATGGCCGTCAAGATGGCCAATGTCTTGGATGAGCCTGGGCAAGACTTGGAGGCGGACTTCCCCAAGAGTGAGTGGGACTTGAAGTGTGTCCACTGGGTGCAGTAGCATTTGTGCCGAGAGGCATGAAGTGTCCCTTGTGATCTGAGCATGACCCCAAAACAGTGCTCCTTGTGACCCTGTGACAGAAGGTTCTCACAGGGACTAGTGCCAGAGATACCGGGACAGGCACACTGTTTTGCAGTTGTGTCTAGCTTTTGTTTAATCGCGGCAGAACACATAACATAAAATTTATCATCTTAACCGTGTTTAAGCATGCAGTTCGGTAGCGTTACGAACATTCCCATCATTGTGAGTTTTTGCATTTATGTGCCTCGGAGCGTGTTCTTGGTACAACTTTGCTGCTTCCTACCGAGTACAGTAAGGCTGTATAGGAGTCTCATCTCCAGTCAAGTGGCCAAGTGGCAGGGGTAGGGTGTGAGGACCACAGGGTTGAGATCTTAAAAAAATTGATTTCTTCCTCCTTTCCTCTCTAACAGACCCTCTGGACATTAACCCAAGTGTAGACTTCCTCTTTGATTGTGGCCTGGTAGGGCCCGAGGATGTGTCTACTGAACAAGACCTTCCCCGCACCATGAGGAAGGTGAGGGCCAGGGCTGCTAAATCCACAGAAGGAGGAGGCTCAAAGAGTTTTTTTTGGGGGGGTGGGGGCGGTTCTTGTAGTCAAGCCGGTGGCCTTAGTTTGACTTTCCTAACCTCCGTTGTCTGCCACTGTGAGTACCAAGAAATAGCCACACTTTCTCTCTTCACGAGGTCACTAGGGCCATTTCTGGGGCTCTGTGCTGTGGAAGCTCGCTGCGTTCTTACATCAGGCCCTTGCTTCCCCAGTGGTCAATACTATCCTGACTGGCTTCCGTGGTGCCCCTGGCCCTGCTTCTGCCACCCCTTTCCTTTCTCTTCCCCTCCAGGGTCAAAAGCGGCTGGTGCTTTCGGAGAGCTGTTCCCGGGATTCCATGAGCAGCCAGCCTAGCTGTACTGGACTCAACTATTCATATGGTGTCAATGCTTGGAAGTGCTGGGTGCAGTCAAAATATGCCAATGGAGAAACCAGCAAGGGGGATGAACTGCGCTTTGGCCGTAAGTATGGGGTGGGGGTGGGGAGGAAGGTACCCCGTGCTCAGGGGAGGGGCCCCCACCCATTTACCTAAAACACAGGGCCCCCTCGATGTGGGGAGAGGAGGAGGGCCAGGGCTGCAGTTCAGCTGAGGATGTGAGGATGTCTAGGGGTGATAAGGCTGTGATCACCGAAGGGTGTCCTGTGAAGATGGGGAGGAGTTGCAAAATAAGGGGAGAGGCTGTCTAGGTTTAAAGGCTGAGGGCTTTTTTTTTTTTTTTTTGTAATGGGTGGGTTTGTTCTGGAGCTGGATGCACTAAGGGATGAAGGGATTAATGATGGAGCTAAATGAAATTCTCCACATGGAGTTCTCTTAATCCCATCTACCTCCACTGTGTATCACTACAGCCAAACCTATGCGTATCAAAGAGGATATTCTGGCCTGCTCAGCTGCTGAACTCAACTACGGTCTGGCCCAGTTTGTGAGAGAAATCACTCGACCCAACGGTGAACGATACGAACCTGACAGTATCTACTATCTGTGTCTCGGCATCCAGCAGGTATCCCTGGCACGCCGCCTCGCTTGCCGTCACTCTCAACATAGCAGGCAGGATCCCACCGTAAATGACTCTGTCCCGGCCCCTGTTCCTCACCCTGCCTCCTACCCTGAGCAGGTCCCCTTGGTAATCCTCCAGAACCATTCTAGGAAGGGAAAGATGGGTAGAGCTGAACTCTTTGGGTGGTGGGGTGATGTGTAGTTTCCCCTGCAAGAGGTCGGCCGCATGTTGTCTGACGAAGGAGGCTGGGCTTGTGAAGAACCAGTGACAACACAGCTCCCCAAATTTCCTCCTCTTCCAGCAGGGCCCCGGTATCTCAGAGTGGGGGGGTATCCCTGGAGAAAAGCACTCTGGGTCACCTAATCAAGCAGCGCTTTCCCATTGCCTCCTCATTATCAAGGTTGCCATGCTCGGGGCCTTTGGCATCACGTCTTTCCTCCAGAACCTAGAGTCTAGCTTTCTGTGCATGTTTTTCTTTCTTCAGTACTTGCTGGAAAACAATCGAATGGTGAACATTTTCACAGACCTTTACTACCTGACTTTCGTTCAAGAACTCAACAAGTCTCTGAGTACCTGGCAGCCCACACTCCTCCCCAACAGTAAGGGACAGGGACCTTGCAACCCCTCTGCCCTCTTCTCCATGCTTTCAGTACACCGTTCCAAGAGTCCTGGGCTGTTTGGTCTGCCACTCTCCACAAAGTGTCTGAGGGCAGGAGTTACGTCCCTGGGGGGGCCTCGGGGTTGAGAGCTAGAGGGGCCAGAGCCCCCATCCTTGAACACGACCTAGGTCTAGGTCTGAAAAAGGTGGCTTGGGTTTTGGTGGTGAGTGAAGAAAGAAGAGAAGGCACTGTGGGACTCCTTGGGGTTTACATCTCCCTGCCTGTAACTCGAGGGTGGTAAGAGAAGCTCCAAGTGCAAGTGGAAACCATTTAAAAAGCCCAGTTCACTGTCTACTGTAGCAGGGTGTCTGCGTTCTCTGTGCAATTGTCACTTACTGGCCAGCGATGGGGTGGGAAATGCTCGTGAGCGGGGTGTCTGGGATCAGAAGTGGCTGGGTGGGGGTGTTTGATCACTCCTGACTGGCGTCTCCCCCTTGACGATTGCAGATACGGTGTTCTCCCGCGTGGAGGAAGAGCACCTGTGGGAGTGTAAGCAGCTCGGGGTCTACTCACCCTTTGTCCTCCTCAACACCCTCATGTTCTTCAACACTAAGTTTTTTGGGCTCCAGACAGCCGAGGAACACATGCAGCTCTCCTTCACCAACGTGGTGCGGCAGTCCCGCAAGTGTACCACCCCTCGGGGCACCACCAAGGTGGTGAGCATCCGCTACTATGCCCCCATCCGCCAGAGGAAAGGGCGAGGTACGAGGCTATCCCCCAACCCCTTTATCTTTCCCCCTCCCTGCTTTCCCCTCTCAGGCCCCTCCATGACTGCTGGCTTGGCCCTCTCCTTGTCTTCCCTACCCCTTCCATTCCTGTGTTTGCCAAAAAGGCGAAAATAGCCAGTCCTGCAATCTGCTAGGCAGTGGCTCTTGCAGAAATAGGAGGTCACTCAGCTGCCTGTATCCTGCTCCCCTCCTTTTTCTTTTTCTTTTTCTTTTTCTTTTTTTCTCTTTCTCTTTCTTTCTCTTTCTTTTATTTACTTATTTTTAAAGAAATATTTCTTTGTGACCTTTTTTTAAGTTTATTTGTTTATTTTTGAGAAAGACAGAGACAATGTGAGTGGGAGAGGGGCAGAGAGAGGGGGAGAGAGAGAATCCCAAGCAGGCTCTGCACTGTCAGCACAGAGGCCAATGTGGGGCTCGAACTCATGAACCATGAGATCATGAGTTGAGCCAAAACCAAGAGTCGGATGCTTAACTGACTGAGCCACCCAGGTGCCCCTCTTTTTTTTTTTTAAGCTCAGTCTTTTTTTTTAGAGGTTTATTTATTTTTGAGACAGAGACAGAGTGAGCAGTCAAGGGGTGGAAAGAGGGAGACAGAGGATCCGAAGTAAGCTCTGGGCTGACAGCAGAAAGCCCAACATGGGGCACCAGCTCCTGAACTGTGAGATCATGACCTGAGCTGAAGTTGGATGCTTAACTGACTGAGCCACCCAGGCGCCTGGTGACTTTCCTCCTTTCAAGGCAATGTACTTTCTTGGGGTGGATGGTAGACAAGTAGGAAGCTGCTGGGTGTGTTCAACTGTGGGGGAGAGTTGACAGGGTGAATAAGAGGCTTTCCCTGGTTCTGTGCTGCTGGGTGTGACAAACTGCACCTTGGTTTCCATTCTGGCCCTGGAGTCCCGTGCCATCTGAGTGCAGTTCCCAAAGTCTCTTCTCTGGACCTGAGCCTCTGCCTGGGCTGAGGTACTGGGGGCTGGGACCATTGCTGTTTCCCTGTCCCGGAAGGCTAGCCCAGCCTTGCTATAGGGTCTGTTTTGTCAGTATGCATGCAAAGCTTCTGAGATGACGTCTTCAGGAAATCATTTTGGGGAGATTATAAAGGGAGACCTTGGCAGTGAGAACCAGGGAGGCCCACAGAACAACTCCCCCCCCCCCACTGTCACAGGACCTGTTTGCTTGACGTGGGGAGACTGACCGACCCTTCTTCTGCCTTTATTTCTCTGTGAGACTGTATTTGGTGTCCTGAGGCCTTCCCCCTGTGCCCTGGACTGTGCTCTTGGAAGTGGTTCATTGAGGCTGTGCTTGTAATGACTCTGGGTCATTTGCCTCATCTGCAGACACGGGCCCTGGGAAACGGAAGAGAGAAGAAGAAGCTCCTATCTTAGAGCAGCGTGAGAACCGCATGAATCCCCTCCGCTGCCCCGTCAAGTTCTACGAATTCTATCTCTCAAAATGGTGAGTTGGAAGCTTTGCAGGCGTGGCATTAGCATGGGGACCCAAGGAATCTACTTTGCCCTGGTAATTGATCTCTGTCCTCCCACCCCTCCCCCCACCCACCTCGCCACTATTATAGCCCTGAAAGCCTCCGGACTCGCAACGATGTGTTCTACCTGCAACCTGAGCGGTCCTGCATCGCCGAGTCACCTCTCTGGTATTCCGTGATCCCCATGGACCGCAGCATGTTGGAGAGTATGCTCAATCGCATTCTGGCTGTGCGTGAGATTTACGAGGAGCTGGGTCGTCCTGGGGAGGAAGACCTGGACTGAGCCCATGTGCTATCCGTGTCTGTCTTTCACACCAACATCTGGCCTGGGGCCATGTCCCACAGGGCGACTGGCCCAGGAAGCAATGCTACTCATCCTGAAGGGCCCTGACTGCCCTTCTCTACTCATCCATTCCCTGCCTTCCCTAGGAACCCCTGGCTCTTACCTTCTTCCACACCACTTGACAACCACAGGGCCCCAGTCCTCTGCACCCAGGGGCTGGTCTCCCAGCGATGGGCAAAACCCAGCTTGGCCATTTCCTTTATGCTTCAGAGTGAACCCCTTCTCCTGGGGGCCCAACTCTGGGTGGAGTGTTGAGAACTCTGGTGATCCTGTTGGCTTTGGGTTTCCTGACCCATCCCATGTAGGTAAAACTCCCTGTTCCTAGGTTTGGCCAAGGGAAGAACCCAGCTGCCTTCTTTGCCCTGTGCCCATCCCCTCCTTTTGCTCTTCCCCAGTACCACGCTAGAGGGTCTTGTATGGATGATGGGAAAGAAAGTATGGCAGTAATGAGGGGACCATTTACCTAAACCACAGAGCTTAGATGCTCTTCCCCTCCCATGAGATAACTAGTTGTTGGAATCCCCGCACCACCACACTCCCCCTCCCCACCCCTGCAAGCACCAGCCCTTGGTGCCTCCATTTAAAAAACTTCCAAATGCTTTCTTTCCCTCAAAGGCAGAAGATGACTCTAAGTGTGGGGAACTGACTCCTGTCCCCTTGGTTTATGTGTTCGTCGCTCTCTGCCGTCTTAGGTTGGCATGAGCCATGGTGTCAACATGCTTAGCCCCCTTCTGTAACTGCCTCCCTTTAGTTCAATGGACAGAGTTTCCCAAGGCAAAAACTACCTTCTGACTTGGATTGGGGCTGGGTTTCCCCACTCGTGTTCTCCCCCCATCATAAGAGCCAGGCCAAGCCTGTGGGGGCCCTGGGTCATACAGGATGGGATGTGTGGTCAAAGGATAGGTGAAGAACTGTGGGCATGGGTCCTGTGCCCACTGCCTACATCTCTCTTCCCCATCTTGCCTTCATAGTTCCAGAAAACTATTAGCGTCCAGCAAAGGGGGTACCCAGTTCTTTCCCTGTTGGCTTTGCTGTTCCCCAGCCTCCTTTTTGTGTTTTTATAACTTACCAGTTTAGCCACTGTTTAAATTGTATATATTGTTCTGAGGCGCCTGGCCTGTCCCTTCAGTGAGCCATGCCCACCCTTGTGTTGTAGTGAGAAGCTGTTGTCACAACTAACCTCTGTCTCTGGAATTGTTTGTTTCAAATAAAGAGTTAAAATTGTCCTTTGCCTTCTCTGGGGGAGGGAGAGCGGTATCAGGAGAGGTGGGAGCCTTAGTGGACCAGTGCCAGACCACTTCAAACTCTCAAGGGAGTAAAGAAGTGAGATGTCCCACCTCAGTTTCAAGAATCATTTTTACCTGCCTCGCTGAATGAATCCACTAGGAAATATGGTCTTTTTATTTTCTTTCATTTTTTGAAAATTTACTTATTTTGAGAGAGAGAGACAGGGCAAATGGGGGAGGGGCAGAGAGAGAGGAGAGAGAATCTCAAGTAGGCGCAGAGCCCGATGCGGGGCTCAGAGTCACAAACCATGAAATCATGACCTGAGCTGTAACCAAGAGTTGGACGCCCAACCAACTGAGCCACCCAGGTGCCCCACGGTCCTTTTTAATAACAAGTTTCCAAATACTTAGGGGGGAAAAATCAATTTCACAGCCATCTGTTGAGGACCTACTATGTGAAGGGCCTAAGATTCCATGCTTCAGAGAAGACAAAGATTCATGAGACCAGGGTCCTATCCCCAGCAGGCTCCCAGGCTACAGGGGAGACAGACCACTGCACAGTTAGTTGTGAGACAGGCAGAATGAAATATCTAGTGCTGTGGGAGAATAGGGAGATAATTCATTTCAAGTTTACAGGGATGTATGTGCAACTGAGTGAGCTCGCTGGGGGCGATGGCATATAAACGGGGCCTCAGGGAATAAGTGGGAGGGGTTGGGGGGACCAGTACAACCAAAGCCATAGGGAAGCCAAGTTGTGAGGCTGAAGTTTTCCAGCCAGGCAATCTGCAGCTTTAGGGAGGAGATCCTCACAACAGTATAAAGGATGGGGGGGGGGCAGGTAAGAAGTGTGGCTGATAGATTCTGTGGGCCTTGATGGGGGCTGCGGGGATAAAGAAGGAAAAGGGAAGATGGATTCAGATATTTCAAAGGTCAAGGCTATAGGATCTGGAGGAGAGGGAAGCGCTGAGCATGAATCCCAGGTTTCTAGCCTTGATAACTGGGAGGGAGAGTGAGATGCCTTTCACCAAGTTGGGAAACCAGAGCAGGGTTGTTCTGTTTTATTTTTGTTGATGTTTTTTGCCAGGGAGTAGGGGTAACAGGGGGTTGGTAACAAGTTGAGGTTTGGGTCATGTTGGGTTTCTACTGAAACACTCAAGTGGTGGGCTGTGCGACATAGCAAAAAGCACACCCAAACTGAAATTTCTAATCCTAGCTGTGCCACTGAGAGTTGGGCAAGCCTACCTTTTTGAGCCTCACCTTAAAAATGCGTTCATGACGGGGCGCCTGGGTGGCGCAGTCGGTTAAGCGTCCGACTTCAGCCAGGTCACGATCTCGCGGTCCGTGAGTTC